TGCCAGAAGTGCTTTTCACCCCATTTTACTCTGCAAATGGAATGATTCCTGCCCATTGACTTGGCATGGTTCCCAAAAACTCAGAGAGGAAAATGATCCCGTTAGCCTTCTGCATCAGGATTCCACTCTTCCCTGTGAGGGAACAGTGCTCTGCACTTCAGACCCACCAGGGACCCCAGAAGGTTAAAAGAGATCTCTGAACACACTAATGCCATTTTAAAGATTTTTCCATCATGGCTTCTTAATTCATAATATACATCATGCAGACACACTAATACTCAGACTGTTGGTAATTCAAATGTGAGAAGTTTGCATGATGAAGAAAGAAAGGGAGAGGAATAAAAGGCTCCTGTTTTCCTATGCGTTGTGATTTTCTCATGGCAGATCATCTGCTTCAATGACCACAAGCTTTGTAAATATATAAAAATCTACATTTAGGGTGTCTTTCTTTTTTTTTATGATAGTCACACACACACACAGAGAGAGAAAGAGGCAGAGACACAGGCAGAGGGAGAAGCAGGCTCCATGCACCTGGAGCCCGACGTGGGATTCGATCCCGGGTCTCCAGGATCGCGCCCTGGGCCAAAGGCAGGCGCCAAACCGCTGCGCCACCCAGGGATCCCCTAGGGTGTCTTTCTAAGGGCTTCTTTGTGGGCTATGGCACAATCAACTGTGACTCCAGATTATAAAGACCTGGGAGGCCCAAGGTGCAGTATTAGGAGTAATAACCCTAAATCTTTTATTTACTTTATTTAATTCATTAATATAGGGAATTATTTATATATTATCATTCAGTCTTAAAAAACGATTATTTCTGTTATGTACCAAGAGGGAAAAATCAAAGCTAAATACAACATAGCTTCTTCCTAAATTGTCAGAACTCGACAAAGAAATATTATGTCATGACAAAATGGTCGTTTTTCTATGACGTTCCTTTTTTTAATTTTTTTTTGTGATGTTCCATTAAATCAGCTGATTCTCACCGCTGCTGGACAACGCTGTTGTCCTAGACCTCAGACAATCTGTGTCTGAAGAATTTTGAATCACTAGAAGGCCATGTCTGTATTATGGTAGCATGTGCACTGCTTTCATTTTATGTTCAGATATCAGTTTTTATGCACACTGCATGCACCATGCTGAGTGTTTTGCATACATTATCTTATTTAACCAACACAGAAACATGAAATGCTAGTATTATACTTATTTATATTTCATAGAGGGAAAAACAAACCCCAAAAACCTAGGTTCAGAGGATCAGTGACTTACCCAAAGTCATATAGGCCTCAAACCAGGACCTCTGGTTCAACACTGGGTGTGATCAGATGAATTCAGTAGTAGAATAAGAGGTAGCCTAAAGTAAGGGTTACTTGTATCTTATTTCTGTAGCCAGGAAACCTGGTCAAATTTAGAAACTGCTGTTCTTTTACCTATATTTAGCTCCTATTCATTTTTCACTCAACCTTTACATAATTCTAACATGACTTACCACTTTATGAAGGAGTACTTGAAGCGTGCATTCTGATTACTTATACAGTTTTTTTTTTTATGTGGGGGAATGGAAGATTGTGCATGTGTGGTGTGACAGAGAGTATCTAGAATTTCTTCATACTATTTTTCTCAGAACTTAGTCTTGTAACGGAAGTTTCTCAACATTAAATGTCATCATGTCATCAATTTGGCCTCACTCAGGAAGTTGCAAGGCGCTTGACTAACCCCAGTGAATTGGATGTTGTTTAAAGTCTGATAATTTTTTAGCTGACTAGCATTTTAGAAGTTTTAAGAGTTATTTTATTTCTTAACTAATTATCTTGGAAATTTAATTGATAAAGAAAAGCTTCTTATAAAAAATTTCAAGATGAAGATATATTGGTGGCTTATATTAGCAATAGAATTGAGGGGGAAGAATTTAAATGATCTCGTTTTTGTTCTTGTCAAAGTATTGTGAAGATATTATCCATTTATCTGGACTAAAATTTCTCTGACCATTCATACTTAGACCACACACTTGAATTTGTGAATATATAGTATTCCTGGGCTCAGAACAATCATGGCATCCCAGAACAGTTTTACCTTTCTGTACTGAAAGATTCAGCTTATTCCAGTGAGAGGCTATGGCAAGATTCTAATGCATATTATATGACTGAAAGGACCTTTATTGGCATAGTCTTGGGCAGCATATGTGTTCCATGTATCAAAATTGCTGAGTGAATAAATATGAGACCAGGACTCCCACCATATTTCAACCTAGAAACACAAAGCCAGGGGCACCTGTGGGTGGCTCAGTGGTTGAGCATCTGCCTTTGGTTCAGGTCATGACCCTGGGGTCCTGGGATTGAGTCCCATATCAAGCTCCTCACAGGGAGCCTGATTCTTCCTCTGCCTATGTCTCTGCCTCTCTCTCTGTATCTCTCATGAATAAATAAGTAAAATCCTAAAAAAAAATAATAATAAGGAAACACAAAGCCAATGTCTGGTAACCACTAAAATGTCAACTTTCTAACCACCTTCCCATCCACTCTTGAAGGCTCAGACTCATGTCTATCTCCTAGCCAAAAGCAGCAGAAGATCTAAGTTTTTCAATTGCCTTACAACCATGGGTGAACTATGTTTTGCCTTTTTATTCCTCTTTATCCAGCTTCCATGGTTGAGAGAAAAACCCAAGGAAAATGAGCAGCAGGGATCCAGTAGGTAAAGTGAGGACAGTAGGACTCTTAGTGTGATATATACTTCTGCTACAGGTGTCCTTTTCAGTGCTGCATTATGTGATGAGGTCATCCTTCTGGTAACTTGAACCTCGGTGTTTCCACTTGTCTGTCCTTCTCTCTTTGTAGGAATCTGGTTTTTCTTCCTCCTCCTCAAGGCCTTTGCAGCACTCTACTTAAAAGCATTTCCCTAAACCCTTGACTGGGTACCAGATCTTAATTTTGAAGGAATAGATGTTGTGGCTGAGTAAACTTCACCAGTGATTTCCACCATTTTACAATCAAGCAGTTCCTTATGTGCTTCCTAACCTACACTTTCTTGGTATCTTCATAAAGAAGCTGTACTCTCTAGAACTCCCTGAGGCAGCAGGTTGATTAAAGTTTAAAAATTATGGTTAGTGGCTGTGCTGTGTCCAAGGAGGTCCTAGAATAATCTCTTTAGAGTGGTAGCCATAGTCAGGAGTGGGGCCATGATGGAAACAGCATGTTGGAAATTTGAAATTGAGACACTATTTCTTCTGTGGAGAGGGAAGAATAGGAGTAGGTATGTGATTTACTCCTGACCTGGGTGCTGTAGGGATTAAATCTCATGGATCTGGAAAAATACACTAGAGATTAACAGTGTAATACTGTCTCCCAGCATTGAAATAACACTTTGTATTTCTTGATTTTTCCTAAGGTATTGTGTTTTATTTATTATAAAACTTTTAGATTGAGTATTTTAGAAGGTATTTGCCTATAGACTAAGTACATTGATTTAAATATAAATATCAAATGTGTTATATGGGAATAATTATTATATTCAATGCACTCCAGTAAATGTTTCCTAAATGCCCACTCTGTACCTGGTATAATAATAACAGGCACCAGAAATTAAAAGGCTAAACAAAATAATCTGTTGTGACAAGATCATGGTCTTGTGGAAAGGCAAGTGCTTTTCAGATAATGTATAATATGATAAGTGCTGTAACCAACAGAGATCAGGTTGCTATGGAACCCAGAGTAGAACACCAAAGGAAATCATGGAAGGTTTCACAGAGTAAGTGACCTTTGTGATGAGTCTTAAGAAAGAAAACAGAGAGAGACTCCTGAATGTAGAAAATAGCAGGAGCCACTCCAGGAAAATAAATAGCATAAGAAAAGTCACAAAGGAAATACTGAATTTGTGGAATTGCAAGTAGATTGTTATGGCCGGACAGTGTAGAGAGAGAAGTGGAAAAGGAAAGATGTGACTCATGGGTAGATAAAAAATGGTTGATAAGAACCTTATATATTCTCAAAGAAAGTTTAAAGATTCTACTAAAGATAGTGAGGAGCTATAAAAAAATTTCAAGCTAGAATTACATGATTTGATTTACATGTTAGATCTTTCCGGAGGCTGTGTGGAGGATGGATTAAAAGATAGAACACTGGTAGAATAGGGGTCAGTTGGAAAGCTATTGTACTATTTCATACATCAGCTCATGAGGTTCCAAAGCAAGACAGCAACCACAGGAATGGATAGAAAGCCATGAATGGCAAAGCACTTCTAGAGGTAGGACTTGATTACTATTGAATCTGTATGAGAAGAGTATAGGTGAAATTAAGTAAGAAATGATTTCCTGTTTTGGGTAACTGTTGGGTTTTGGTGTCACTAAAGAGAGAGAGCTTTATTTGAAATAAAGGAGAGACAGATTTGTAGAGAGAAATCAAATATTTGGGTATGTTGATCTGAAGCTTCTAGAGTGCTATGGGCTGAATTGGACCCTTTCCCCACAAATTTGTATGTTGAAGCACTAACCCCCGATGGATGGTATTTGTAGATGTTTTTGGGGGGAGATAATTAGGTTTAGATGGGGTTGTGAGAATGGGGCCTTCATGATTGGGTAAGTGCCCTTCTAAGAAAAAACACCAGAAAGCTTGCTATCTCTGACATGTGAGAAGGAAGCTATCTGTGAGCCAGGAAGTACTCTCATTAGAATCCAACCGTGCTGCAACCTGATCTTGGACTTTTGGCCTTCAGAATTCTAAGAAAATAAATTTCCATTGTTTAAGCCACCCAGTTTATTATATTTTATAATGGCAACCTGAGCTGACTAATACATGGAAGTATATAGGAAGTTGGATAACACAAATCTGGGGTTCAGGGGACAGACTGAGGTGAGGTAATTTATTTGGGAGTCATATGAAATATATATGAAGGCTGACTATAAAACTGTGTCTGGTAAGAGATATTTTGTCTAGAGTTCTAGTATAAAAATACTTATAAGTACCACTAGTTTGGAAAATAACAAATGCACATAATTCTTTTTATTATTAAAATTAGGGTATTTCACAATTAAAAATATTTACAATTAAAGATGAAACATCTGTACAATTACTGAAATTCATCTTACTAAATGAGAATCAAAAATGTCTTGTTATCTATACTTTTATATCAGGTAACAGTGAAGAAACTAACAAAAAAACAGTTACTAAAGCTCCACTGTGGATCAGGATAAAATGTTTCTGATATTAACTCACACTTTCCCATTAAGTATAAAAATGAGTGTGAATGCTGCTTGGATAGTTGGTTAAATAGACATATGTGCTATTACTATTTGTTGAATAACAGACACAAATGCGAAACTGATAGGTATGAAAAAAGGAGGTTTTTTCCTGCAGAATTCATCATTTCACACTTAGAAAGCAAAACTGAATAAAGCTTATGTTACACATGCCAAAGACTTACACTATACCTTTTTCTAATACAGTCAAATGAAATATTAACATGTAGCATTTAAAATAATAAATATATATACTATTTACAATAATAGGGAATGTTAGAGCATTAACTTTTATGTAAAATCATTCAGATTAAATCATTTTAACTTTAGGTTGTATCGGCAAATACTTCTCTTTTTCTCCTATTTGATCTTTTAGCTCAAGTAGAATTAAAATGGAATGCATCTGTTGTACATATAAAGTTGAGAATGTGTGTTCAGTCACTTGGCTCTGTAATAGTAATCTTCTGTACCATATCAGAGAGATTTTCAGACTCTAGATCTTCCTTGCCATTATCTGAATTTTCTGATGAGATATAACAACCAGAGTCCCTTGGGCAGTTGTCTAATTGTGACTTATTTAAGGAGATGTCTGGGTTTAAGGATAGAGGCATGGATTCATTTTCTTGCTCTTGAATGGCTGTAAAAGGAAAAGAGGGAAGCAGTTAGGAGAAGCCAAGAGAAGTTTTATTCACGTACTCATTAATCTCTGAGCTATTTTAATCGTACCAACCTTGACTTCATTACATTTGAAACTGTCATGAGTAAACAATATATTTGTTTATTATAAAAGAGATATTTGCACTCAAATATTCAAGCCCCAGTTTCCTAGAAGACAAAGTTTGCCCTTTTTTTGCTCACTTGCAATTTCATGGAATTCATGTGAACTGCTTACATAAGCTAAGATCAATATGGACTCTCATTTTACATTAATGATAAGTTGCCAGAGAAAGCAGATTGTTTCCACAGTTTGACTGATGCCTTGTCCAAATACTCCTTAAAGTAACATTAGAAAAAGTCATTTGTACTTTAAATGCACAACCCAACTCAATAGTGATCTTTGTGGACAATTCTAGAATCATGATACTGTAGAGTAGTGAATAAAATATTGTTTTGGGCAACAACATATAGTAGGACTTCAATTACTTGGAATTTAATAAAACTTAAAGTATTTGGAATTTTATACCATGTTTGCATTTATTCACCAGAAAAATCAACATGGAAATCAGGTTGCTTTTTTTTTTTTTTTCAAGATTTTTAAAAATTTATTTACTCATGAGAGACACAGAGGGAGAGAAAGAGGCAGAGACACAAGCAGGCTCAATGCTGGGACCCTGACGTGGGGCTCGATTCCAGAACTCCAGGATCATGCCCTGGGCTGAAGGCAGGCGCTAAACCGCTGAGCCACCCAGGGATTCCCTCCGAAATCAGCTTGCTTTTAGATAGTAAAACACCACCATTTTCATTGACTCTGGCTTATTTAGTTAGTCTTCTACATATTTGTAGTTCTTTTTTTAAAATGTTTTATTTATTTATTTGAATGAGAGAGAGAGAGAGAGAGAGAGAGAGAGAGAGTTAGAGAGAAAGAGAGAGAACACAAGCAGGGGGAGGGGCAAAGAGAGAGGGAGAAGCAGCCTCCCCACTGAGCAAGTAGCCTGATGCAGGGCTCCATCCCAAGACCCTGGGATCAGGACTCGAGCCAAAGGTAGACACTTAATTGACTGAGCTACCCAGGTGCCCCTACATTTTTGTAGTTCTGAAAAACAATTATTTATATTCGGATTGGTACTGTGTTATTAAAGCAGTATTCTAGATTCAACAGATATTTTCTTTTAAAAAATTAATACTAGAGATGTAACAAAAGATATTTTTGAAGAACTTAAGCAGCACTATAAAGGTTTATTCTTCTCAAGAAGCCTTTAGCATCAGAGTTCTCTTGGTCAATGTACAGTTTCTTTCCTTGCCTTCCCTGACACCAGTAATCATGAGATGAGTTCCTCAGGGAGAAGATATTAGGCCACCACCCGTCAACTATATCAGCATACCTACCTAGTTCTTTCCCCTTCTAACCTCAGGGCTTCTCCACTTTACACATTTGAATAATTCTACTTTGGAAGAACAAAATGTATACATTTCAGGGTGGGACAAGACCTCTGCCTTCAGAGACTATGTACTTCATCCTACTCTAGTGAGAAGAGAGTAATCCTAACTCCAAAATCCTGGAAGGGGGAAGCTGTAATTTTCCTCAATAGACTTTTTAAAAGTAAAATGCTAAGTAAATTATCTGTAGGAAATTCACCCTTTAACTTGTCTACAGATATCCTACTTTTTAAATGTGTTTTCTAGGCTCCAGATATCTTGCCAACATTATGTTCTACTGTGTATTCAATTATCAACATCCTTTATGAGAGAGAATTGAGCCCTGGTGCCCTAAGGCATTCTTGTAGGTAATGAATTCAGTTCTCTTCAAAATTATCTAGAATAGTACTCTTTTATGTAGCATCCATCGGAGAATTGAGAAAAGAGTCACATTACTTTTTTTGTATTCTGTGGTTTAGATGAGGAACACAGGTTGAGAAAGGTTGGGAAAAAAATGATAAAGATCATTTTAGTTTACTCATCCTCAAAGTGAATCATAACAGTTCTTTTAACCTTTTCCTCAAAGCTTTAATTTGCGACTTCAAACCCATGTTTATGCCATTCTTTTGAATCTTCTCCATGTTTGCCACAACTTCTTTTAGCTGTGGACCCAAGTATCAGATATTGAAGTCCGGTGATATTGTAACTAGTTCTAGGTATCAGGAACTTTCATTTTAATATGCATTGAATGCGACAATTTAAAAATTTTAGCCGCCATGAAGCATTTTCTCTTTATTGCCTCTTGGCAACCTTTAAGTTTAGGGTGAATCTTCTTAATATTCATTAGTGTTTGTGAATATCAGTCATTCAGTTTTGTTTCTAAAGCCTTCCGTTATGAAAAGACAACACTGAAATGGGACCTCATTTTCTGAAAGAAAGCTTTCTCTCCTGCCTCTGCTTTTCTGTCTTCTTGCCACTGAAGTGAAAGAACCAGCTCTGTGTTTCATTATCCAAGTGTTTCTGGAAAAGGCCAGAGAAATTAGTCCTTTTATAATGCTTCCTGCTACATCAGCAGTGATTCACCGTATTTGGAGTGTGATCCCAGGCCATATTTCCCCAGATTATATTTGGGCCTATCACCTCAACACAAAATTAAAAGAACTGAGTTATTTCCTTTCAGATCGACATTTTAAACAGGACTTGGCATAATAAAAACTGTTCCCAATACCATGTTCTATTTAGGTTGATTACTGATTGTGGGACTCTCTTCGAGATATAAAACTTAGGCTTCAAGAACTCTGATTTCCAAAATTAGCTCTTTTCCTTTCAAAAAATAAATACTTAGCTTGTTATTTCATCTTCTGAAGACTCTATCCATTCCCCTCAAAGGATAACAAAGTAAATAAACAATAAATGAAAAATCTGACTTTAACAGAGACTATGTCATTTTTAAATATTTGTAAAATGTATTTATTTTTATTTTTGCTTGAGAAATAACTATATCACCTTCTCTAAATTCTAGGAATTGGTTTGTTTTAAATACAGATTATTTACTATAGGAAATTTTATCTGCAATTTTTATGGAAAAAAGAAATAGTTTCTCAGTATGAAAGTTATGCAGCACAGTAATTGACAGAACAGGAGTAATTTGCTAAATGATTTCCTAGTGAAATGAAAACATGACTATGCCTCCTCAAATGCTTCCCACCAGGCTTGCAATAATTTCAGGCAGGTGATCAGCTGGAGCCCCTCAACTGTAACTATAAAAAGAAAAGGCAGGTTATTATGTTATATTATGGAAATGAAAGCTATACAGCATTCAGTTTTTGTGTTTGGAGGGTCAGGGCTTTCCTTTTCTTGTTTTCTTTCTTTCTTTCTTTCTTTCTTTCTTTCTTTCTTTCTTTCTTTCTTTCTTCTTCTTCTTCTTTCCTTCCTTCCTTCCTTCCTTCCTTCCTTCCTTCCTTCCTTCCTTCCTTCCTTTCTTCTTCTCTTTCTTTCTTTCTTTCTTTCTTTCTTTCTTTCTTTCTTTCTTTTTTCTTTCTTCTTCTTTTTTTTTCCCATCCTGACACTGATGACTTTGGGATTGGCACAAACCTAAGTCTTATACTATGGATACTTTTTTCCAGCAGAGAGGATGAATTCATGTTAATATGTTCATATTTTCTTTCTAAGTCATTTAGTTCCTTCATGTGGCCATGAAATAGAGTAAAACTAACTGACCTACCTAGAAATTGAAACTATAACCTTCATCAGTTTTGGCCTATGGTCCAATCATCTGAGCTAACCAGGCAAGTAACACACAAACTAAATCCTAATTCTGAGAAAATGTTCTCATATCCTAAAGAGAGAAATCTGTCCTATATTCACATAGGTTTCTTTACCCAAATATTCCAGATTTTGACTTCACTGTCTTGTGTGCCTTAAATATGAAGCTTCTGTTTCTTTGGGCTTCTGTTTCTTTTGGGTACTATGAAATAATGCAATCTGGAGGGCATAGGAAAGTGCCTGGCCAATGAAAGTGCTCAATAAATAATTTTTTTAAATAAAAAAATGTGATGTTTAGATTAATTGAAAGAAGTGGAAACTAAAGACCAAATAAGAAATTCTGTTGAAATTCAAATGAAGATACCTCTTGGCTCTTTGAATTATCATCCTCTTTTTTTTTTTTTCCCTACTGGTGCCATCTCCAAAGAGGAAAAATCAAAGTTATGCCATCCTCTCTGAGGATAGCTCAGCTTCATGTTGGAGCACCATTTGAGTCACTTAGAACAAAACTTAGGCATTCTCCAGGTATCTATGACTGTATTTATTTGTCCAGAGGCAGTGTTGTCCAAGGAAGAACATTTACTAGACAATATGGCACAACTCTTAGTTATTTCTGATTTCATCTTAAACATATCCTTAAATTACTTGAACATGATAAATTTATAATAGTGACTTTTAGGTATTCATTGTCATTTGAATACTGACTTGGAAAAACAACAAATGGAAAACAAGAATCCCTTCATGGAATAACAACCAGTTGCTTTTGTTTTCCTGAGGCCATGAGAGAATAGGAGTTGAAATGACTCTCCCTCTTCTTTTTGCACATCTCTCTTTGCATCATAATAGCAGAATCTACCTTCTGATGAGATGTAGGCCAAGGAATGACTCTTTGTACTCACCTTCACAGCAACCTCCCTTTGCACCGTGCTGCTGCTCCAGTAAGGGCAGAGGAACACTCACCTAATATCTAATTGCTCAGCACAGCACAGATACCACTCTGCCCAACCAGACACCCCTATGGAAGGCTTTGGTCCCAGGAAATATTTACTTTTGGTTGAGTTGTCATATTGGTCCCATTTTGATAAGACTATTTTAAATAAAATTAAAAACCATCATTATATATTGCTTACTTATGAGACTTGGGAAATTAGTTTCATTTTTCTTATAGATTAAATTACTTGAGATAGTGAAAAATAACCTAATTTCATTATTTTTAAAAATTATTATTTGACAAAAATAGGGTTACCCTGCATATTATTGCTTTTCCCATTTAATATGTTTTGAATATATTTTTAT